GGAACACCGCGCAGGGTAACCATGGCAACCACCACCAACTCAGCACCATTGTACCCTGTATTCACAGTTCAAATGGTTTTCATTCATGGTTAATTCAATCTATATCATCGCATAGAAGACACACGACAGCGTTGACGTGTGTCTTTGTCTTGTTAGCGCTCACCTCTGCGATGTGCTGCAGGGATGTTAATGTTCTGACCCAGGTGGAGGTTTGGGCGGAGGGCCAGCTGGGGGGAAGTCGCTGCTGTAATAAAAAAAGTAATACAGAATGTAACTGAACGAAAAAATAACAGAACAATAGAGAGAGAAGGAGAGAAAGAAAAAAAAAGGAGACAAAAGAGGAAAGGAGAAAAAAACAGACAACAAAATAAACATCAAAAAAATGGTCTAAAATAAAAAAAGCAAAAAAAAAAAAGCAAACAGGAAAAAACATTTACTTGAAAAGCGTTACGCTCAGTCGTAACCAAATTCTCTGTTTCCTTCAGGATCAACACTGTTTTCCTCTAAACCACAACTACTACAATGTCTGAAGGAGGCGACTCGAGGGTTGGGACGGCGAGATGGCTGTGACCGTGCAGCACATCCGTCCGCGGCGGGGCCTTTTGGTTTCGTGCAACCCAGCCAAGCAGAGAGGACTTTTTGTTTTATGGGGGGGGCGGGCAATGCTTTAGCTCCATCCCCAGGGGTAAGCCAGGGGCAGAGAGCCAGCGGAACGTAACCGCATTGCCGGCACGGACCCACGAAATCGGAGGCAACCATCGGACAAAACCCTTGCAGGCAACCCATATTGGACAGCTTACTGGGACATATACATATACAACACAGACGGGACAGGGGTTAAGACGAGGACAGGGTAGGACACGGAGCATGGTAAGACGGACTAGGTAGGAGGGACCAGGGTAGACAGACACGGTAGAGGGACAGAATTAGGAGGGAACAGGTAGGAGAGAACAGGTAGGGAGGACAGATTAGAGGGACACGGTAGAGGACAGGTAGAAGGGACAAGGTACGAGAGCACAGGGTTAGAAGGACAGGTAGAGGGCAGGACCAGTGCTAGGAGGGACAGGTAGATTTTGAGGACAGGTAGGAGGGACAGGTAGAGGACCAAGGTACGCAAGGACAGAAGTAGAGAGACAACGAGCTAGGAAGGAGACAAGGTAGAAGAGACAAAGGGAGAAGAGACAGGTTTTAGAGGAGGACAGGTAGGAGAAGAAAACGGTAGAGGGACAGGTAGAGGGACATGTGGAAGGACAGGTAGACAGGTAGAGGGACAGGTAGACGGACTGGTAGATAGGTAGAGGGACAGGTAGACGGACTGGTAGATAGGTAGAGGGACAGATAGAGTACAGGTAGAGAGACAGGTCCCGGACCCGGGTACCTCTTCCCCCGGGCCAGCGTTCAGGAACGGCACAGGTAGGAGGGGACAGGATAGGAGGAGAGTAGACAGAGACCAGAGATTTCAGGACGGGCACAGGTGTACCGTGGGGCGGGGATCAGTGCCTGGACAGCCATCAGCAGCAGCAGCAGGATGAACGAACACACCATGTTGGACTTGAAGAGTTCGTCTCTCATTTGGGAGTACTGAGGGACAAACAGAGAAAGGTCACCTGACCGCTCAAATACAGGCCCCGCCCCCTACAGGAAGTGAAGTCATTACCTTTCCCTCCATGTTGGAGTCCTTGAACACCTGAGTGAACGTTGTGATGTGCTCCTTCCTCATCCGCTCGCTGCTCCGGACCTCCATGGCCTGACAGATCCTCTTGTTGACCTCCCGTGATCCCGACCGCTGCGCTGCGATCTGATTGGGCAGCTGTGTTAACGAGCCGTTTGTGAAGGTGGCGAGGATCTACGGAGCGCCACAAGAGACAAGAAAGGGTCAAACTTCCAAACATACCTCTTGAAAAACTCACATTGGTCTTTAGATGCCTTCATTGTTCTCACAAAGTTCATTCCCAGGATGTCTCCGAACGGCAGCTCGGCGCTCCAGGTCGTCATCGAGTCGTAACTCGGACGCCTCGTTCTCGGTGGCTCCACCTCCTCCCGTGGCGTCGGGCGGATCAGGTAGGTGTCGATGTTGTGTTTCCGTAGAAACTCGCTGCGTTCCTGGCCATGCCCCGTGTCCGTCTCGTAGATCCCGCCCAGACAGTCCATAGTGGCCCGCGAGATATGAATCCGCCTGAGAGGACGAGACAAAACATTTTCAAGAAACTGAAGACACATTTTTTGGAAATCAAAGAAAGAAAATTAACATTTTTGTAAAAGGAGGACGTTTGTTGAGAATGAAGGACAATTTCGGTGAAGTAAGAAATATGTCAAGTGAAAACAACCATATAATCTGTAAATCTTATGTAAAGTGGGGACAGTTTACTCATCATGGGACGGTCTGAGGATCCGGTCCTGTATTAATTTGTATTATATCAATAAAACCCTGTGTGGCTGACCCCGGCACTCCTGCGGCCTCCAGGCTGTTGGCGATGTCCACATCCCAGCTCCAGATGTCAAACTGCCACTTCTGAAGACCTAGAACACCGCAGAGAACTGAACCCGAATGGACGCCAATCCTCATGTCCACGTCCTGCTGCAACTCCCGACGGACGTAACTGCAACAGAGCGACATGTTAGCGTTTCTATGGAGCTTCATGTGGTGATACGAAGGTGCGTCTGTGCCATTTTTACCGTATGGTGTTGATCATACTGAGGCCCATCTCCACGCAGCAGCGGGCGTGTCCCCTCTGGGGCTCCGGTACTCCAGAGACACAATAATAACAATCCCCCAGGATCTTAATGCGCAGACACTGGTGCTCCTGAACACACCAGAAATACACACAGTCGTTATTAACAGCCATTAACTGATGGATGAGTATGATGTTGAAAGAGACAATATAATGTGACCTCTGCCAGCCTATCGAAGCGACCAAAAAGTTCATTCAGAGTTTTAACGAGTTCTTGAGCCGAAAGAATCAGCGACAAAGAGGTGAAGCCGATGATATCCGCAAACAGAATGCTGTGAAAGACATCAAAAACGTTGTTTAAAAACCTAAATTATTCGCCGTTATTAGCATATCAGATTTTGCTAGCGATACCGTTAGCTACTATAATGTATTTCCATTTTATGGCAATTTATACTTAATCTCAGAGGTAAATATTCTATTATTTACTCCACTACATTTATTTTAAAGATTTCATTACTTTTCTAATTAAGATTATTAAAACATTAACTGATCGATTATAATGTATTATTAAATATTAAACTAACAGCAGCATATAAAGCTATTAAAAGTGATAAGCCTTTAATGATGTTAGCAACTGGCTACCTACTTCCACATCAAATACACTGACAGCATCATGACCCCCCCCACTGATAATGTCAGTAATTACTTGTGGGGTTCCTCAGGGATCTATCCTCGGCCCGTTATTTTTTTAAATCAGCTAACGGAAGCAGATTTTAACAGCTAGCGTCTAACTGAGTCTGGGCGGGTTTACGCGTTTGTCTACCTGACGTCTTTGTAGTGGTGGATGTGGATCTTCTGGAACTGCTGAGGAAGCAGATATTCATCTATGGGGGCCATGTCAGCGATCATCTCCAGAACCAGAAATCGAGGCAGGATGGACATCACCAGACGCTCCTGGAGGACACAGAGACGATATATTGAAATATTACGTAAGTAAAACAACAGAAATTATTTCCAGGATCATTTAAAGCACCTCACTAAAGAGTCAAAAGCCTGAGCTTTCTACCTGTCTCTGGTTCTCTCGCTCCAGTCGGACTCGTCCCTCGATACAGCGTCTGGTCTCCAGGAAGGCCTGTCTCTGAGTCCGGTCTGACAGGTAGTGAATGAACAGACCAGCGGTGTTCATGGCCAGGTACAACAACGCCTTCGACAACACCTGGATAGGTAACAACAGGTAACAACAGGTGACAACAGGTGACAACAGGTAACAACAGGTGACA